GGAGTATATACCCAAAAGAATGGAAAGCATTCTTTTTTACACTCAAGTTCACAGCAGCATTATTCACAATAGCCCAAAAGGTAGAAGCAACCCAATGTCCATCAACAGATGAATGAATAAACAAAACGTGGTATTGTAATATACAGCGGATAATTATTCAGCCTTAAAAAAGGAGGGAATTCCGACACACGCTATAACATGGATGATCCTTTATGAACATTATGCTAAGTGAAATAAGCCCGCCACAGAAACACAAATACTGTATAACTACATTTATCCATTTGACTACCTAGAATACTCAAATTCAGAGACTGGTAGTTGCCAGGAGCTGGGGAGAAGGAGGAATGGGGAGTTGTTGTTTAATGGACATACAGAGGTTCACTTTTGCAAGAGAAAAACTGGCAACACTGGAGATTGGCATAACATTATAAATGTACTATTGAACTGTATACTTAAAAATAGTAACGGTGATAAATTCCAGGTTATGTGTATTTTACAACTAAAAATTTAAAACCAAGAAAAGAACGCAGCAAAAATAAGTGACTATATTTTTTAAAATTTTATCTACGCAATTTTATAGACTTCTGAAGTTCCTCACTGAAGAAAATTACTGGAACCAAAGATCTCAAAAACAGAAAGGTTATTTAAATTATATACTCCTAAATTAATCTGACAAAGCATTATTANATAAAGGAAAAACTGATGGTTGCTAGTTGGGACGGGGGTGGGATGTGGGAGAAGGGGAAGGGATTAGACAGCATAAATAGGTAACTACACTATAGCCACAGGGATTGAAAGACAGTTCCAGGAATATAATTAATAATGTGGTAAATATTTTGTAGGGTGTTAGATGGTCACATGTCTTGTTAGGGAGACCACTTCATGGATGGGGTAGAGGCTTTAAGAAATGTAATACACTGACAGAAACATAACTGAGAAAAATTATTTCATGAGTACCTACTTTGTGACAAGTATTCTTCCAGGTGTTAAAGATACAGCAGTGAACACATTTCCCATAAAAACTTACCAACTCCATCTTTACTAAATTACAGCTAGTTATCTAACATAAGCCACATGGTCAGATTTCCCCAATATACTTCTCTATTACTTTTCACTGACTTCAATTTACTTAAGCTTTCCTTCAACATAAATTTTCCATTACTATCTAGAAACTTGTCAGCAATTCTGTTCCATTTACTGTGAAATAGCATCTTCAGTGTTGCTACTTTATTGTTTTGAAACTGATAGAAATATGTAGATTTTATGTTAGTGATTATTCACTTTCCAGTGGGATATTCTTGAATGGCTAATTTTCTACAGCTAAATGTGTGTGTTTTCGGGGTGGGGATGGGGGTAATTATTGATTACAACTCTTTAAATAAAAAATCATAACTGTAGTTTATATAATTGAGAAGTAAATTCAATTCAAATCCCAAATTACACTTTGGCCTGTAAGAACAATCATTGTATACCTACAAAAATTCAAAGTACATCCTGTTATTTTTTTTCATGTCTTGTCAATACTTCAAAACCTTCTTCAATTTGTAAGTTACATACAGATTTCAATGTTTGGGTGTACATATAACTTCAGAACTTTTGCCAGTTTAACAAAATTCATCACCTCTCAGGGAAGCAAAAAAACCAAGGCGGATTTTGTCTGATTTCCCAGGATGGTTCTTCAGTAATTGCCACTACAGTTGTCTAACTTAATTCCTGTGTATGTTCACTGAACAGAGTTCTTTGTCCTGGAAATAAATATTATCAAATATTACCCTTGATCATATTTACTTCAAGTTACTTTATAACTGGCTAGTATTTTTAAATGGTAAGACTATTTGGTCCCTCATATTACATTAAATGCACACATGGGAAGTGCTCACATGCTCTCCTCCAAACTACCCCAGGGCCCCTCAGCAGGGTCCAGAAAAAGTGACATGCTCTGTACTACTGCTCAAC